TGTATTGCGTTCGAGGCTATCCCATTACGGGACCACCGGCTTCAGTGTTCGATGTTATCCCGACGAGAAGGATAACCCCTAACTCCAAATAGATAGCTCCACGATTACGATTTCCCGATTAATTTGCATTTCTAACTCGAACAATCGACCACACTGAAAGATATATATCTTCACTCTCTATCTTTCTCTCTCATGCTCTTAGTTTAATACTCTGAACTTATGTTCTAAATCTATTATCACTAACGCTGTTTATTTACGAGATATCGTTGAATATCTTCCAACAATTGTCACTAACTACTATTCAGAATAAAAGATACTAACGAGCAAGCAATCAAATTGATCGTTCGGAATCTAGCTTGTCGATGGTAACAATTCGTGTTTGGTTGTTTGCGAACAAGGAAACTGTGATCGTCGCGATGTTGCGAAGCTTCCTATGAGGATACAGTGCAAGGGTACTTACAAGGGATCTAGACACGATCGTTAGGATATACACAGAGATATACTTGTCCAGAAAAGAAGACTCTCAAAGGACCTTCTTCCTAGAGAGGTATATTCTCACGACGGGTGGGATTTACGTTTGTGTGTTATATCTTCAAGAGAGAAACATATAGATGGGAAAGAGAAAAAAAAGGAAAAAAGAATAAAGAAATCCACGTTTCGAGAAAGGCGTCAAATTTATAACCATTAAATTGATATTTCCTGAATCGGTGTCAGAAGCATCCAATATCGTTCGAATAGGTTTATTGTATGTATGAGTTTGTGCGTACGCGTATGCGTGCACGAGTTTGTTGAACGAGATAGGGGTTCGAAATAGTCCTGACCAGAACTTCCCTTATAAGAAGAGGAAGGACAGAAGAGGAGAACGATCGTCCATTGAAAAGCGAACAAACTGGTCGGTCTTTTGTTGAACACAATGCCACGGGGGCTTGCGAACGTCCAATATTTTCCGTCGACAGACTGCACGCGTTCATCTCGTTATAAAGTTTGTTTGATAGGCAAATATCGGACTCTGTTGATGTGCATGTCCAGAGATTCTCCACGAAAACAGGAGAGTAACTGATGCAACTGGGTTATAACATCGATATAAAACAGAATCGATACTACTTAAATCAAATTGTGTTAGTAAACTGGCCAATTAAATTTTGTTTTCTTTTTTTATGTTCTTAGTAATCTTTCTCTCCCTCTCTCTCTCTTTCTAATAAATTGCTATTGCAGTTCTATGTATCTTAGTGATAAAATTACTACACGAAGTGTAAATTAAGTAATAAATAAATAGGGTTAAAATTGTTATTTTCCAAGGACTATAATATTCTTAAATAAATTATGACCATACAAATATTCTAATATTACAATAAAATTTGTTACTTGTTAAATCTAATAACTAAGACCAAATCAATTACGTACCCTTACTTCCTGAAAACTTCAAAAATCAATATTCAAGCTGAACTCTTATAATAATTAATAACTAAATAAAAAGATATTTTAATAATACTTTCGATCAATCGATTTGTAGACGAATTCATTCATCGTAAAATAGAAAAGGGATGAGAAAAAAGAATAGCCAAACTAGTCGTGTAAGCGTATTGTCTAAAGTGTCTTGAAGATATTATCAAGGCCTTTGGCAATCTCAGGAGTTTGCATCTGTGCCCAATATTACACGGTAGAAGCTTTGGAAGGGCACCCCCTTGTGTCTGTTTTCCTATGATGACGACGAAGACGACTTACATGCTCACCTACACCCTTTGGTAGCACGTACGAAGTGAGAGAGTGCCTATGACAAATGTTGCCATCTAAACAAAGGACCTCGCGGAACAGTATGCGCGTACCGCAGACACGCAATTTCCGCGTGGGATGTAAATCGCTCGAAATGAATTTCTGCCAATCACGCACGTGCCTATTTCTATCCTTCTCATTCGCTATCTCAAACTCTCTCACTCTCCGTTTCTCACTTTCTCGTTCTTGAACGATTGCTAGGGATCCCTTTGGTGTTTGTGCATTCAACTAAATGAGAGAAATCACGAATGAAAGTAACAGTTCGTTAAAAGACTGAACATATGATGCTTGGAACTTGTTCTTTGAAATAATCAATAAAATACAGTTTGATTTAACATCTAAAATAAATAATTTTATTATTAATTAATAAACATGATGATGTTTCTAATATAAATGATAAGCACACACACACACACACACAATAAAAAAATTATTTAAAGAAAATGAAGAATTTTGATAAAAAAAAATTAAAGTTCAATTATTCTTCGAAACTCTCAACCATCTTTGAATAGTATTCTGCGTAACTGAAATAATGTATGAATAAAGCGATACTTGTATGTGCTTTTAATCGTGTGTGCTTGCGCGATGTATTAAATGGTTTTTGAATGAAAAGATCGTACGAGTACTTTCTTCCCTTCTATTAACTTTATGCTTCACAGCAATCGATAATGCGGTTAAAGGATGTAAAGTATTCCGCGTATCTAAAAAATTATTGCATGAAAAAAATAATCGATTGTATGACAATAAAAAAAATTATGAGAAGTCATGTAAAAATGTCTGATTTTTAAGTATACAGTTATTTAATTTTTCGAGGGATTTGAGTTGCGTTTTGTATAGTTGTTGAAAAGATTTCCAGGGTTATTTGATTCAAATTGACAAGAGAATACGAAAAACGAGATTGAATCGATGGAATCTTGCATGTCTAGACGTAGAATAATGAAAGTCTGAAAATCATTGGTGGCTGGTAGTCGAGGTTGTCACGGGATAAAGCCAGAATGGTTTCTTTCGTCGCTTAACGAACGCCTGGATAAATAGGTTCTTCGTGAAAAAGCATGAGCGCTCTCGCACGAATTGGCTGAATTCCAAGCGCGAACCTAGCGTAAGGTACGAAGAGGATGAACATCGAGGACGAGGACTACGGAGAAGGAGAAAAAGGTTCGCTTTCTTCCCTGTAACGTATAAGGGGCTTCTTTTCTCCACTTTTCCTTGGTTGGTGGTGCATCGTCGAAGCGAATAAATGGTTTGCTTCTGTCGGCATGGAAGATCTAAGGAATAGTTGAGAGTTCGAAGCGCGATGAGCGTCTTTTGCTTTCCTTAAAATACCGCGAAACTTTACGAAAGAAGAAGATTTCGACTGTGAGAAAGCCGTACAAAATGAATGAAGAAAGCTAACGCTCTTGCTCTTGCGAAATATTTCACAAGGGAATGATTTTGGGATGGGATCAAGCAAAATCAATCGTACACGTACACGTACACGTACACACGCTAGCACGTCGAATATATGAACTTCATACACGTGTTCGTACTTGAAAATTTTCGGAATCTTACTGGATAGTCAAAGTTTTCTACAAGAAATCTTTTAATACCGACAGAAATTATAATCCTTTATTGCTACTTCTTTCGTGAGCGCTATGTTCAATAACAAGACACGTATTATACATATATTCTTATGAGTTTTCTATTGTACTAGAAGACCACGAATAATATTAAGCATAGTTTTATGGATAATATTAGAAACGTTGTATCTTGCTAACAAACTATATTTTAAATAAATACATTTTCATTGCGATTGTTTTGCGAAAACATTAGGTCGAGTTAAATAATCTCAAATAATTGCATAAATTAATAACAGATGCAATGTTGACCAGGTTGAGTAGAATAGTAGAAAGGGGCAGCAGTGCTAGGGGCAGCAGAGCTAGGGGCAGCAGTTGCTGGTGCTGCAGAGCTGGGTGCACTACCTCCAGAACCTTGACCGGCGCCAATTCCTACTCCTGATCCTGAACTTCCATCAGATCCAGAGCCTTGTCCGGCACCAATTCCTACTCCTGATCCTGAGCCTCCATTAGATCCTGAGCCT